TCCACAGGCAAGTTGTCTGCAAACAACCTTTGCATCTTGTAAGTCCCAACCGTCATCACAGACTGTTCCCCAGTTCCCATTGTGGAAGATTTCAAGTCGACCCTGGCATCTGTTTTTTCCATTCATCAACCGTACAGTCAATGAGCTTGTTGTCGTTACCAATGTACTTTCTGCAATTGTCAAAAGAATATAAACAGCATTTTTTTCTCCAATGACACATTACATTGACTCTTTGAGGGTTTATTTTAAAAAGGCATATCAGTATTTCTCAACCTGATGTTCTTTTGTCAGATAAGATTCCGTGTGTGTGTGTCTATGTGCATGCATGTGTGTGTGTACAACTCTAGATATTGTGACCTGTATTTCCCTTTACATAAATGGGGTTGAATAGATTTAAGAGGACTGGCCACAACTGCTACCCACTCTACAAACTTTTGGTGATTTCCTTGGATCTTCCACAAATTATTTTGTATATTTGAGTGATACCTTTGAGCTTCCTTACCCCTGAATACCAGAGATCAAAAACTCGTTATTCTTTACATCATCATGTAATAAAAGATGAACATTTCATCTAAGATATCTAATTTCTATAATGATTTATTTCTAAACAGAGAGAAATCACTTTGCTCTTCTGTTTTGCCAACATAACATATTAATGTAACACAAAATACATTAATATCAGTCAATTTCATTCAAGTCATTATTTTTCTGTGAGAATTGAAGTGGTTCCATAGTATGGTGGGAAACCATATTCTCTCTCTACATGTTCCAGTTCTGTCCCTTAGTAGTTCCCACCGGCATGACCATAGCATACTCTTTGGCTCACTTCAACAGCACAACCATGATTTAGGAAAATATAGTTTCAAATAATTTCCTATTTAATATAAAATTCCTTTTGTAGCTTATTGAAATTCAGATTTATATGTTCTTTGCAGACTTCCAACTCCCTTCATATCACCATACAATAAAATGGGTGTGTGATCAGAAAGAGGAGGTATACAGGGTTCATTGTGTTACTGTTACAATATATATTACTGTTTGTTGTTCGTTGCGAAGTCGTGTCCGACCTATCGCGACCCCATGGACAACGTTCCTCCAGGCCTTCCTGTCCTCTACTATCTTCTGAAGTCCATTTAAGCTCACGCCTACTGCTTCAGTGACTCCATCCAGCCACCTCATTCTCTGTCCCCTTCTTCTATTGCCCTCAATCTTTCCCAGCATTAGGCTCTTCTCCAAGTCCTTCCTTCTCATTAGGTGGCCAAAGTTCTTGAGTTTCAACTTTAGGATCTGGCTTTCTAAAGAGCAGTAAGGGTTGATCTCCTCTAGGACTGACCGGTTTGATTGCTTTGCAGCCTAGAGGACTCGCAGGAGTCTTCTCCAGCACCATAGTTCAAAGGCCTCAATTCTTTTGCGCTCAGCTTTTCTTATGGTCCAACTTTCACAGCCATACATCGCAACTGGGAAAACCACGGCCTTGACTATACGTACTTTTGTTGGCAGGGTGATGTCTCTGCTTTTTAGTATGCTGTCTAGATTTACCATAGCTTTCCTCCCCAGGAGCAAGTGTCTTTTAATTTCTTGGCTGCAGTCCCCGTGTGTGGTGATCTTGGAGCCCAGGAAGATAAAATCTGTCACTCCCTCCATTTCTTCTCCATCTATTTGCCAGTAATTGAGAGGGCCGGATGTCATGATCTTGGTTTTCTTAATGTTGAGTTTCAAGCCAACTTTTGCACTCTCCTTCTTCACCCGCATCAAGAGGCTCTTTAGTTCCTCTTCACTTTCTGCCATTAGAGTGGTATCATCTGCATATCTTAGATTGTTGATATTTCTCCCGGTAATCTTAATTCTAACTTTTGATTCATCTAGCTCTGTCTTTCTCATGATATGCTCTGTATATAAGTTATATAGGCAGGGTGACAGAATACAGCCTTGCCGGACTCCTTTCCCAATTTTGAACCAATCAGTGGTTCCGTGTCCTGTTCTCACTGTTGCTTCTATATGTTGCTTGCTATATGACCCGCATATAGGTTTTTCAAGAGACAAATAAGATGGTCTGGTCCTCCCAACTCTTTAAGAACTTGCCAAAATTTGTTGTGATCCACTGTTACAAGAATGCATATTCACTTAGCTATATAATAAATACCTCTTCTTTCCTGCGTAGTCAGCTCTGTGGAAGTTGTAGAAAGTTCTGACAAAAACAGAAAATTAATGTTATATGACTCAGAAACTTTGCCAGAAGATATTTTCTATTATGAGTATATAAAGATAACACTGGAAAAAAACATTCTCTTGGTTTTCCACTTCCTCTCAATCCGTTTGCTCCTCCTACGTATTATTTGTTTTCAGATTCAATCCTTGTTCATTCTCTTTGACCAAACCCACTTCATGATACTTCTTTGTACTAAGTAGCCTAATTAATTTGTTTCCCAGTCATTAAGGACACTAACAGTATTGCTTAACCACAAACCATTTTTAAATACTCCATAGACACTGCTTAATTTACTGGTTTGTTTGTTTAATTTATTTATTTATTATGTTGTCTCACAAAACATTCCATAATTCAATGCTTTCACTTTATTTTAAATTCTAATGCAGGATTTGATTTTAAGTAACAATACAAATTTAAGAAAATACCTACCTGGTGGTGGTGTGGTGACAGCAGGACCTGGAAATAGAAGAAATAACTTCTGTCTGGGTGAAAATGACAGCATACTCACGATGATCAATTATGAGGTTTCATGATACTGCCAGTATTGTTATCATCATTATTTCTTTTATATTTTTTTACTTTATTTTGATACAGCAAAATACAATAAAAAAGGATATAGCAAATGTGACTGAAAGTATTGAAACTGATGCCTGTTGCTTTTCAATATTGAGACTACAGGTAGTCCTCATTTACTGACTGCAATTGAGTCTGCCAGCTCTCCTGTTAAGTGCTGTGGTTGTTAAGCATGTTATGCACTTTAATCAAATTTACTTAAAAATAATATAATAACTTATTGAAATCTACATAATATGGACAAATCCTTAAATCCTTGTATGTTCAATAATAAACACCCTTTTTTATGGAGAAAATGAAGATTGCCTGAAAACTTTACACATAATAGCAATTAGGATTCTTTGTGATCCTGTTCAAGGATCAGGTTCAATGATGACATACTTTGCTTTCTGATAATAATATTATCAGTGAATAAAAGAAAAGAAAGTTGGATGAATCTTATTTCTCTTCTTGTTGCTAAAGACTTTACTGGCTCTATTTTCCCTTAAATTATAAGTAATAATAGAAATTTAAGAAAATACCTACTAGGTGGTGGTGTTGTGACAGCAGGACCTGAAAATGGAAGAAATAACTTCAGTCTGGGTAAAGATGACACCATACTGATGATGATCAATTATGAGGTTTCCTGATGCTGCCAGTATTATTATTGTCATTATTTCTTTTATTTCTTTTATTCTTCTATAGAATAGAATAGAATAGAATAGAATAGAATAGAATAGAATAGAGCTGAAAGGGACCTTGGAGGTCTTCTAGTCCAGCCCCCTGCACAAGCAGGAAAACCTATACCATTTCAGACAAGTGACTGTCTAGCCTCTTTTTAAAAATCTCCAGTGATGGAGCACCCATGATTTCTGTAGGCAAGCTGTTCCATTGTTCAATTGCCCTCACTGTCAGGAAGTTTCTCCTTAATTCCAGGTTGCTTCTCTCTTTGATCAGTTTCCAACCATTGTTTCTTGTCCTATCCTCTGGTAATTTGGTGAATAACGTGACCCCCTCTTTGTGGCAGCCCCTCAAATACTGGAATACTGCTATATGTCTCCCCTATTTCTTCTTTTCGTTAGACTAGACCAGTGATGGCGAACCTTTTAGAGACCGAGTGCCCAAAACCCGCCCCCGCCCCCGCTCCGCCTCCCACCATGCCTGCTTCGCCCCTTCCCATCCCTGTCTCCCCTGCCCGCAGGGCTACGCACTGCCTCCATGGCCTGCCGCAGATCGCCCAGGCAGCTCTGCAGCACCAAGGTAGCCACACCCTCTGCCCACGCCCTGCAGCATCATCTGCACGATATGGGGCGTGAGGGCGGAGTCTTGTCCTGCTGTCCGGCTATGTCCTTGGCTGTGCTGCTCCATGCAGATCACGCCCGGGGGCGACTCTCCTCCAAGGGGGTTGCTGGTGAGAAGGAGGCCACGGGGGGAGGCGGGGCTGGGGCAACGACATGCGTGCCCACAGAGAGGGCTCCGAGTGCCGCCTCTGGCACGCGTGCCATAGGTTCACCACCACTGGACTAGACAAACCCAAGTCCCGCAGCCGTTCTTCATATGTTTTAGTCTCCATGCCTTTGATCATCTTAGTTGCTCTTCTCTGAATTTTTTCCAAACTCTCAACATCTTTTTTGTGACATGGTGACCAAAATTGGCTGCAGTATTCCAGGTGTGGTCTTGATTAGTAAAGCGGTACTAATACTTCATGTGGTCTTGATTCAATGCGAACCCAGGATTGTATTTGCTTTTTTGGTTGCTGCTGCACACTGCTTGCTCATAGTCAAGTGATCATCCACTAGGACTCCAAGGCCCCTTTCACAGTTACTGTTTTTGAGCCAGGTCTCACCCAATCTGTACTTGTACCTTTGATTTTTCCTTCCTAAATGTAAAACTTTGCTTTTCTTCACAATGAAACTCATTTTGTTAGATGGGGCCCATTGTTCAAGCTTGTCAAGATCTTTTGGATCCTGAGTTTGTCTTCTGGGGTGTTGGCTACTCCTGTCAGTTTGGTGTCATCTGCAAATTTGATGAGTTACCCTTCAATTCCCTCATCTAAGTCATTTATGAAGATATTGAAGAATACTGGGCCTAAGACGGAATCTTGTGGTATCCTGCTGCTTAGTTCTCTCCATGTGGATATGGTGCCATTGAGGACTACTCATTGAGTACGGTTTGCCAGCCAGCTACAGACCCATCTGGTGGTGATTTTGTCTATTTCACCTTTCTCTAGCTTACCAAGGAGTAGGTTGTGGTCTCCTTTATCAAATGCCTTACTGAAATCTAAGTATACTACATCCACAGCATTTCGCTTGTCTACTTGTTTAGTCACTTCATTGAAGAATGAAATAAGATTGGTTTAGCATGATCTGTTTTTAACAAGCCCATGCTGGCTACTAGTTACAAATTTGTTTGCTTCTAGTTGTTCGCAGATCTGTATTTTGATTATCTTTTCTAGGATCTTCCCAGGTATTGATGATAAGTGACTGGTCTGTAGTTTTCTGGGTCTGTTTTTTCCCCCTTCTTGAAGATGGAAACCACATCAGCCCTTTTCCAATCCTCAGGTACTTCCCCGGTGCTTCAGGATTTATGAAAGATGTAATGTAATGGTTCTGAGATAACATCTGCCAGCTCTTTCAGAACTCTGGGATGTAGTTTAGTTTAATGCAATAAAGTAAAATAAAAAGGGCACAGCAAACAGTATTGAAACTAAAGTAAAATAAAAAAGGGCACAGCTGAAAGTATTGGAACTAATGTCTCTTGCTTTTCAATATTGAAACTACAGCTAGTCCACATTTACTGACTGCAACTCCATACTTAAGTGCTATGGTTGTTAAGCATGTTAAGCACTTTAATCAAATTTACTTTAAAGTAATTACTTACTGAAACCTGCATACGTTAACATTTCGTTCGTTACATCTTCGTGTGTTCAAAAATAAATGGAGTTTTTTTTTCTGAGAAACATTATCATTATCATCAGAAAGCTTTACACATAATAACAATTAGGATCCTTTGTGATCCTATTCAAACCTCCTAGTTGGATGGTAACAGGCTTTGGCTTTCTGATGATAATAATTTACCTGACAAGTCACATTGCATTGGCACTAAATTATTGTTTTACTGTGTTTAGATAATGTAAACCAAGTAAAACAGCGCAACATTTGAAAACTGAGCAGTTCAGATTACCTAAGCAAATGACCCCAGCATCTTGTTATAAGAATGAAAATCCACTTCACCATATAATAAATACCTCTTATTTGCTGCATAGTCACATCTGCAGAGGGTGTAGAAAGTTCTAACAAAAACAATAAATTTTATAGTTATATGTTGCCAGAACCTCTTTGCTATATAGGTATATAGAGATAAAAATAATGCTGGAAATAACCAGCCACCCTCTCGGGTTTAAACTACCTCTCGATCCGCTTGCTCTTCTACATATATTTCTCTACAAATTCAATCCTCCTATATTCTTTTTGACCAATCCACTTGATAGCCTAATAAATTCAACTTCCAATCATTCAGGATCCAATCCCTATTGGTTAACCAAAACCAATTTTTAAGTACCTGATAGTCACCAAATTAGTCAGTCAGTCGTCTTGCTACCAAGACCAAAAAGTTCCATAATTAAATGACTTCACTTTATTTTACACCTTATTTGAATCAAACAAAATATGATACTTGTTGTGTCCTGAGCCTGCAAGAGGCAGGTTCGGGACGTTGCAAGAGTCCCGGGCATTTGCAGAAGCTGCCCGGGACCAGACTGAGCGGCGCCGGCCTTGCGCGCATGCGCAAGGCGGGAAAAGCCCGCCTCATGATTGGTTGAACTTGCCCGGGGATCAGAGGGTATAAATAGAGGCCTGCGTGCCTCTGCTCGGGTTGTTCGTAGAATGGAAGCAAACAATAAAGACTTGTTGGAGATGCTTCGTCTCAAGCGCCATTATTCTCCAGACTTAACACTGGCGACGAAGGTGAGATACAGTCTCTACAGCTAAGAAAAGCTAGAAGACTCACCCAAAGAAGTCCGGAAGAGAAACGGCGTGGAAGTCAGTGTTATCCTGCCAGTACGGAATCGCTGGAGGGTGCGTGCGGCTGAAGAAAAAGAAACCTGATCTTCGATCATGGCAAAAGTTGGGCGTTTAGCGGAGTTCGATGTCTCCCACCCCGAGAGGTGGGAATCTTATGTGGCAAGAGTCGAGACGTATTTTCGCATAAACCAGATTCAAGAGGAAGGCTTAAAGGCTGCCACATTGTTGTGCGTTTGTGGGCAAGACACCTTTGAGATCGCCGAGAGCTTGATCGCCCCAGACTCGCTGGAAACGGTATCATACTCCGACCTCAAGAAAACCTTAAAGGAACACTTCCAGCCCAAGCAATCTGTCATGGCTTGGAGGCACACATTTCAACAGAGAGATCAGCGAGTTGGAGAATCAGCAAAAGACTACATTGCGGCCTTGAGAAGAGCAGCTAAACCGTGCAACTTCAAGGACTTAGAAGAAAGACTGCGCGATCGTTTTGTGTGCGGACTGAGAAACACAGAATTGCAGCAGAGACTGTTCGCCAGGGAAGATGTTTCCTTCCAAGATGCTCTGCGAGAGGTTTCGGCTGAAGAAGCTGCCGGCAGGGTGGTCAAGAACATGCGGCCTAAACGAAACGTTCCAGAGACCGCCACTATTCACAAGGAAGACGTGCGCGAGGATTCGGACGAAGATCCTGAAGAAGAGGTGGACAAGCTTTACCAAGCAGCTGGGAGAAGGTCCAAGGATCGTCAGGACAAGGGCCCAGCTGAGCTTCGTTGCCTTGGATGTGGTGGACGCCACAAGCAAGCGGAATGTCGGTTCCGTTCCGCCATTTGCCGAGCGTGCGGAAAGAAGGGCCACATCGCTGCGGTCTGCCTGGGTCGACAGAAGGTACAACCGAAGGAAGAATTGAATCTGAAAGGTACCAGGGTGCCCAGCCAAAACAGGGTGGGGTTCTGTGCAACACGCCGGAACATTTTAA